GCACTCACCTTCCATGGACCCAGTGGGTTGGGATTATTCAGAGCCATGCTACTGTGTATTTCAGTGCTGATTTACCTTCAGTGTAGAGAGCAAAGAGAATCATATTCAGGTTAATCATCAAAAGCTAATAAAGGAAAACACTATCCCATTCAAACACAGCCTGTCACCTCCTCCACACCAACTACAACATGTGTTTTTGATTTCCCTTTAGAAGGTATATTCATATTTTTTGGACTTGCACGTCTTTGAAATCTATCTGAGGATATATCACCTCATATTACAACAATATAAAGCATCTTGGCCTGTATAAAAGAAATCATCATCTAGTGCACGTTATCTGTTAGATATGAAACCTTTTTTGAAGCTACTACATTCTCACACTTGATGGAGCCAGCTGTTGACGTATGCTGTTTGTTCTCTCAGTGCACGGTCAGTATGTCTATGCATCTGCATGTCTGACGTCAGTCTATACATTTACGTGGCTCAGCAGAAACAACAAAGACAAAAGTCACAAAATGTAAAGTGTCAATTGTCTGCACAAGTCTATAGGCTGAATGGACTGAGATGGAGGGCTTACCTGACCGGCCCCAAAGAATAGCAGTGCAGTGCTCACAGGGGGGCTCCACAAAAACGATGTCCTGACCCCGTTGTAAACGGACCTATTTATACATGCTGGTGCTGAAAAGCAGCTGGGCCTGTGGGTCGGGGAAGGAGTCAGCACATTGCTGTTCCAGTCATTGTTCAGCACTGAGCTGCTGGGCTTTAGTTCGCCGCAGTGGGACTGGATGGAGGGCACGGTGCCCAGTGCAGATAAGCACAAGTTCCAAATGGTCCATGACCAGTGGGTCGGACCAAGTCCTGGCACAACCCGGGCCAGGAAACAGATCATCACAGATGTGGATAGTCTTGCCAGTGTCTCTGGTGCAAAAAGGAAAAACACATTTAGTGTTCAAGTGCAAAGCAGAAAAACAATTGTAACATTTTACACTTTGTAGGTAAAGGTGTTTAAATTCTGGATCCGAAAAATACTCAAAATGAGAGAAAACTCACTAATAACTGAGCTGGATTTACTTACTGGGTCCTTTGCACACTGCTCTGTCTCTCTGGCTCTCTGACTCCGATCTGCGTGTCATGTCCACCTCAACTGACCCCACATCTCTGGTCCTTTCACCTTTTTACTCACTCCAATATACACACATGCTCAGTCATGCACACACACAGTCATGTACAGAGACTGGCATGCGGAGGCCTGTTCATGCAGTGACACATACATTCAGGGCATACAAATGAATTTACACACTTACACATATATACACAAATCTATTTACCCGGTGACAACTGACCTTGTAGGATATACAAAGGATTCATAAGGTGGGGATCTGTCTGTCCACGCTCCCCCTCTGCATCATACACCTTAATACAACATTATCATTTTGTTTAATGCTTTATTTCTTTATGGTGGTAAAGATACATTAACTACTTAATTAAAAAAAAATTTCAGGCTTAAAAATGTGGTTAGAAGGTACGTAAGTGGTGGAATGTAACTAAGTAGATTTACTTAGTTACTGTACATAAGCACAAACTTGTACTTTACTTGAGTTTTCTTCTTCATACTACATTTGTCTGACAGCTTTAGTTACTCACTTTTCAGGTTTTTTTACAGTTTGTTTGGAAGCGAAAAATAATTTAGCAATAAGTTAGAATCATATTCTTACTCATACAGTAAATATGAACACTTTCAGTTTGTATGTTTTGTATTCAGTGTTTGAATATAACTGAATAGTACTGAAGTACTGTATATAAGTACAAATTTGAAGTACTGCCCTGACCCCTCCTTTACTGTCACTTTAGCTGCTATTATCTAATAAATAAATAAAATATAACAAAAAGCATGTGCAACATCTATAGATTATTTATTTGACATTTCAGTCACACCAAGAAAGATTATGGGAGATATGATATTGACATTTTCTGCCAGGCTACCTTGTAGCAACATCAATATATATACTAATACTGCTGTGACCAACAGTGTTGTGGAAGCTTTGAAAGCATTGCTTCTCAAGTTAACAATTACTTCACAATGGAATAAGTTGAACTACAGCCAAGCAAAGCTTAGTTACAAGCTACTTAGAAAAAGTAATTCAAAATATTTTGTTAAAAAACAACAACATGCATACAAAATTTCAACAAGATGTAATTAAAAAAAAATCATATGCCAGCAAAAAAAATTAAAAAATTCAATTTATTAAGTAAGGTCAGTCAGACAAACAAACAAACAAACAACTTCTCTGAACATTGTCTGTAAATAGCGATAATCAATACGTATTGACTAAATGACACCAATATATTCAAATTAAGTTTCACAAACTCAGATTCAAAATATTTAAAAAAAATTATATATTATATATTATTAAAAATATTTTTCACAGGTAAGCTGACAATCAAGCTTTGTAGTACTACCAGTAAGTTATTGCAAAATGTAGTTAAACTACTAGTGTTAATTAACATGCTAGGCTCACTAAGTCTCCACACACTGGTAAATGTAGTATGACTGAGATGAGGATAAAATAACACCAAGATACGTAAGCCTCAGAAACACATATAACTCCTGGCCCAAAAATTTTAAAAAAGTGTTTTAGTTTTTTAACTTAACTGCCCCAGGCCTTGGTGTATTGGAAATCTGTACAAGCAAGCAGGGGTGCATGGTGGTGGTCACACATGTAATAAAAGCATCAGTCCTGTCAGGCCCCTTTTAAATGGTTCGAAACCATAAAAAGAACAATTAGAGTGAAACTGATCTCTTTGTCTCTGTTGTTCTTCCAGTGTCTTCTCTAAATGTCTAAAATAGCTCACATGTCAGATGTATTCATGAGGTTGTCTTCTTATTATCAAAAGCAAAAGATGACATTTCCTGTGGCTTCTTATGCTCTAATAGTTAATTTTCTAAAAGTCTATTTTCACAAGTCATGAAAAGATAATATTCTGTCCGAGTGCATGCATACCACTGTGCATGTACAAATCCACGTGTGTAGGTGGGATTGTATGAGATGTGTATGTATGGATAAAGCCTGTGTAGCACTATAATAAGTAAAAGAGTGTCCAACACGCCTGTCTAAACAATGGAGAGATGGATGCCTCTCCTGCAGTCAGCACATTACACACACAGGGCTCAAAGGCTTGGACCGGCTGCACCAACGATCAAAAGAAAGAGAAACAAAGTATGGAAGTGAAAGACAAAGACAATGACAGTAGGGAAGGATAAAAAATGAACAAGAATTTTGAAAGAAAGTAAGAGACAGAGTGTGAGAGAAGTGGCTGCAAAAGTAACTCTGTGTGTGTGTGTGTG